CCCAATCGCTCTCCCCCTCTCTCTCCCCCATATCTCTCTTTCTCTCTCTCTCTCTGTGACAGGCGTCAAAATTACCACCAAGGGAGCGTGGATCAGCAGCTCTCCACGCAGCCACACCGCGGCTGATGTCCGCGTTTCCGATGCGTAATAACCCTGAAGAAGACCCATCCTTTCTCCAAATGCAGGCGGGCAGAGGAGACATGACACCGGACGCAGCGTCTCCGTGTCCCGGTGGCTCGAAGTAACCGGTGCCGCCGGTTTAATCGACTTTAAAGGCTTCACCTGAGGAGATTGTTGTGTTTGGTCGCGGGACTCGTCGGTAGCTTTGTGCTCTGAGATGAAACTGAGGAGGAAGATGTGGATATTTCACGGTGCCAACAGTTCAGTGCTTCTTTCCTCCACTTGGACCCAGTGGTGCTTGCGTTACGCTGCGGTGTTGTGTTTGTTGTGTTCGCCCGTCAGGACGGATGACGCGTGTCCGTCCTCCTGCGTCTGTGCCAGAGACTCGGGGACGGTGACCTGCCGTGACGGGGAGGACACGGAGGTACCGGGGGACATACCGGAGTGGACGTCCGCCCTGATCCTCCGGGGCAGGAACATCTCAACTTTACAGCGCGGTGCGTTCATGAGCAACGGTACAGAGTTGGACATGACGACTCTCTCGCTGTCCTACAACGGGATACAGGCTATTGAGCCTTACGCCTTCCTGGGGCTCCCCCGGTTGCATTTGCTGGACCTGAGCAACAATCGGCTGGAGTCGATCTCATCCAGAGCTTTCCATGGATTACCTGATCTGCGCTCTCTTTACCTGAATAACTCTGTTTTACCTTCAGCCGCAGTGCAGCTCTCAGACGCGCTCAACACACAAACTTTGCAAAACCTGCACAGACTGGAGCTGGCAGGGAACAGACTGAGGTCAATACCTCTGCTGAGGTTGGACATCTACAACCTGCACACCTTGGTGCTGGTTAATAACTCCATAGAGAACATCGACTGGGAAAACGTGACCAACCTGTACCAGCAAACGCGAATACGTGTCTACTTGGCGTTGAACCCATTCCGGTGCAACTGTGGACTGGAAGCATTTTACTACTGGCTGAAGAACTCGTCCCAGTGTGCAGATGCAGGGCGTCTCCTGTGCAGCGAGCCGGAGGCCAAGAGGGGGGTCCCCGTGGAAATGCTCCGGGGAGAGGACATGGATTGTATGAACGAGAACCTCGAGGCTGTCTCCTACGTTTTCCTCGGTTTAGTGCTGGCTCTGATTGGGGTGGTGTTTCTTATGGTGCTCTATCTCAACCGTGGGGGCATCAAACGTTGGCTCACCAACATCAGGGAGGCGTGCAGGGACCAGATGGAGGTCTACCATTACCGCTATGAGCAAGACTCTGACCCCAGACTGGCCAACGTGGCTGTTTAACCCATTGAACCCAATAAAACATGAGTGAGGAGACATGGAGGCCAGTGTTTCAGGAAGGATGTCTATGACTGTAATAGACTGAGGTCATTCCCTGGCTGTATCCTGTCACAAGCAAAAATCTATAGTTTTTAAAACCATTTTTATCATTTTTAGCAGCTGGAACATTAACTGCAAGTGGTGTCCCTCTCGCTGTGGGATTTTCACACAGCCAAAGACAGTGAAATGACTATAAAGCTGTTTTCAGACATGAACTTCGCAGAACTGGGTCATTGGGACGTTTCTCCATGTAGAGATTCTCCATGTAGAAGCTTTCACAACAACACAGAAGTTTCCGGTCGGCCGGTGTTGTCTCTTATCACAAAAGCTCTCTTGACATTTTTGTTGGTGTCCTCTACGTGTATGACTTTTGATCCTGGGGTATTTGTATTCTTTTTGTTTTGATCATTTCTGCGACTGTCACATGTTAGAAATGTCATCAACATGCCCTCTAGCTCTCGGTAATTCCTAAGGAGAATCTCCTGCATTCTCTGGAGATTGTATCTGGGGGCTGGCTGGAGAAACTCCTGACAAAGTCCAGACTCTCTCACTTGGACATTAGCGTTCTCGCCGGAGAGTGTCCGGAGATTCTGCGTAGTTCAGTGAATGTCTGAAAGCAGCTTAGAGACCATGAAGTGTTCAACTTGCACAACTTCTAAGCAGTAGCCTATTGTACATATTGATTATAAGCGTCCTCTTAAGAGAGGGGTGCTTTTCATGCATCACGTTAACTTACGCAGTCTACAGCAGCTTATCAGACTAACTTAGGCCTATTTATCTTATTTATAAAGGGACAGCTATACAGTAAAGGTACATCCGAATTTCTGATGCTGGAATACAATCGGTAAATCAGTGCAGCCTCTAAAACATGTGCAATAGTCTCCATTCAGGACGCCCTGCAGGGAGAACAAGGTATTTCTGCGGATGAAGTGAAGCAAGGGAGCTGACATGTTTCGTCAGAGTGCCATGTTCGTGCAAGCAGGTGACTCTGGAGCAGGCTGTCATGTTTCATCATCGACCTCATGGGATAAGTTACCGACCCTGTCTTCGTGAGCAGTGGTGGATCTCTGGAAATAGCACTTGTGTGTATCATTTGACACGAGGTCAGTTCATCAGTGAAGGGGCTAAAGAGGAAGAGACAAAGTCTAACCATGCATGTGATTGTTGTAGACATAGGAAACCAACCAAAACGTGAATAAAAAGGTCAAATAAAAAATTGGTGAGTTAGCAGTGTTCTTTACGTCAGTGCTATTCACTGTCACTGTCAGAGAATGTTGACTTTATGCAGCACCGTGCCAGGCGTTAAACACAGGAAGTGGATCCCTGTTGTGTTTTGTGAAAGGAAATAAAGTATATTTGGTGTGTGTGTGTGTGTGTGTGTGTGTGTGTGTGTGTGTGAGAGAGAGAGAGCTCTCCCTGACTCATAGTCTGAACTATCTTAAGATCGTCACCAGCTTTGCGCTCATCAAATAAAGTAAGAGACTATTTCTCATCCACCTGATTTTTTTGTTGGGAAGAGTGAAATACATGCAGAGAGCAAAGGTGTTAATCGAATCAGGTTTGTGTTTAACAAACCGTGGAAATTAATGATCGACCTTTGAAGTCAGTGTCTCTCTTCGGCCCAGAGCTCATCAAGCCTGTTGCCTAAAGGGTCTGAGTTATGATCACAAGGATTTTGGAGGCAAGTCAAACGTTAAAGTCTGAGGAAGAAAAATAGGAAGAAGGTGTGTGTGTGTGTGTGTGTGTGTGTGTGTGTGTGTGTGTGTGTGTGTGTGTGTGTTTGTACATTTTGATTATTTCTTAACCACTTTCAAAAGGCTGCAGGTTTACACTTGCTTTTAGGGTTTTTAGGATTAGGTTACAGTTAGGATAAGGATTAATGTTGTGATAGTTAAAGTCAGGGGGCCAGTTGGGATTTGTGGTTAGGTTAAGGTTTCAGGAGTGTGTGTGCGTGTGTTTATCACAATTCACCTTTTCTCTTTATCCTGTAAATCATACACATGATCGATACCCCTGGTTTATCACAGTGAGGAGAAAACATCATCATTTACAGTGTAGACTTGATGAACAACTAAGAAGACAGAAACAGAGCACTCCCTGAAGACCAGCTATTAATAGACATTTCTGTTCACCACCCAATTATAATCAAAGATACATGCAAATTCAGATGGAGGGAGGGAGGGATGGATGGATGGATGGATGGATGGATGGATGGATAAATGGATTGTCCGTAACGGCCGTGCAGGGGTGTGTGAGTGGTGTGTGATAGATAAAGCAAAGAATATAGTATTGTGTATTGTGTGAATGTAGGAATGTTATTTGTGGAGTAAAACGTTTTGAGTTTTCCATTAGACTACAAAGCACCATGTAAACACAGTCCATCAGTTTACATGAAAAACAGATATTTCATTATCTTTTCTTTGTTATTTTCACAATCTCACTCCAACCTGTCTTTGACTGCACGTCCTCCATCTTTCCTTTGTGTTCAACTGTTGGCGTTTTCTGTCTTTAGGGGATTCTGGGAAATAAATAAAGAAGCAGAAACACAATGTTCAGATGCTGATCAAAAAAGACTGAATTTGCCTTTCAAAGCAGTCAGGCCTCAACTCTTCATTCTCCCATGCACTTCATTCTGTTTTCCCCCACGTCTTTGTTCCTCTTTTTATTTCGCTGTGTTCTCCCACAACGTTTGTCACAGACTTCCTCTCTGACCTACACTCTCTCCCTCTGACTGTTCCCCTCTTTCGCTCCTCTTCATCCAGGTAAATGACTTTATCCAGCTGAGTGACTTTGTAAGGAAGCAGGGACGGGTTTAAGCCGAGCCCAGCAAAAGGGAAGAGCAGCGAAAAGGAAGATAAAGAAAAGGGGGAGTAGAGAAAAGAGTTCATTAGAGTCCTATAGTTAGGGCACCCTGTGTCCTTCCCTTGTTCAATAAGATGACTCATCCTCTTGCTCTATATATGAACATTTGGCTAAATCCCAACTTCCAACCAAGGGGGAGTTCAAACGTGAAAATATTATTTTTATTGTGGAACAGCTGCTGCTCTGGAAGAATTCAATCACATCAGAGCATCTGCACCTCAGATCACTTTTTAAATTTTCTCCACCTTTCCTCCCGAGCGACACTTTCAGCATGATGTGCTGTTTAAGGTCTCACAGCCCATCAACCTCTGATTGAATAATATTGTCACTAAGGTTGTGGGGCTGTGTGAAACCACTCTGGGTGCAGTCACACATAAACAACGGTAAGTAAATGTTGACGGCCTTCCCGGGTGGAACCGGTGTCTTGGGCCGCAAGAAGTTCATGATGTGATGTATGAGGATGAGTTTGTTCGTGTTGCAGTTTGTGCTGATTACGGGTTATTGATCGCTGGATGTGCGTCTCCTGCTGCCTGGAGATAAGAGAAAAGATTTGGCAGAGAGTGGACATGGAGAACTGTGGCTGTGCAGGAGGGAGCTGAAAGTCAAGAAACATTTTGAACTAAACTTTAACTGTAATGTCAGCAGCATAAAAAAAGTTTTAAAAAATGCATTCTTGCTTCTGGTATCATTGTCCTACACAAAACCAGTGAGCAGAACTTTTAATGCTCTCTTTCGACTTTAAAACATAAATCATGAGCACGCTGCCGCAGCAATTAGGAATTTATTGCAGGTCATATTCATTGTTAACAAAAATGGTGTTGGACAGACGGAGAGAGCAGCTGTTAATTTGAATTAAAAGGGACATGGAGGACACTTCACAAGGACTGAATCATTTGACGTTGCTTTGTTGTCTCCTCTGAGTCACGGAACGCACCGCAGCTATGTGCGTCACACGAGCAGCCGCATACAGACTGAAGGGACAAGGAGTACAGGACTCTGAAATTAAATGTAACCTCCACTGATCACACTCACGAACATCAATCAAACATTAGAAATGCATTTTACGGATGGTTTATTAGAGTGATGGATTTCTAACTGTGCTGGAAATCAAACTTTGGTACTTTTTTTGACAATTAAATGTTTTTTCAAAAACTGCACTTTGTCTTCTTTGATCCAGTTGACATAAATATTGATACGTTTTAAAAATCAATGATATATCAGCAAATGATATTTCTTACATGAACATGTGATGATAAAATAACCTTTATTATGATCTAATTTGTTTTTATTAGCTCAGCCAAGGAATTTATGTTTTCACTCCTGTCCCCTTCTTATTTGTCAGCAGGATTGTATAAAATTACTCTGATTTACGTTAAAGTCAAAATGTTATCAAAAAATATTGCTTTGTTTTAACTCTGAAACTCAGATATCGTGTTTCCACTCCTGAAAATGTTGAAACACTATGTACACTTGTATATCATCACTTTATATACTAGGATAGGACAGAGGAAATAATGAAAGATCAGAATGCATCCTGGGTAAATACGCTCCTTGAGTGTCCACCATTGTTCACTGACTCGCTAAGCTCATGAAAGGTCGATCACACAGGCATCCACTCGAGATGTGACCTGAGGTTTCCGAGAGTCGGCTCGTCATTTACAGTAAGACGTGACAGGGATTCCCACAAGAGGAGGAGCTGGAGGAAATGTCAGAGAGGACGTGGCTGAAACACACACACACACACACATACACACTCACACACAGTTTGCCGTATGACAACCACCATGTTTACTTCAAACTGTTTTCGTCCATTTCCACTGTGTAGACTGGTGGGTCTTAATGAGTTCTAGCAGGTTCTAATGAGATTAATTAAGCTTGAATTTGAACAGTCAAAGGTTTGTTTGTTACAGAAAAGCTCATTAACCAGTAATTAACTGGTAATGTCATCACACATGGAGCTCATTACAAAGACTCCCAGGAGTTAAAAAGGCACAAGTCTTTTGTCTGAGGTCACCGTGTCCTACTTGATGATAAACACACCCTCAGGGAATTCTGTGCATTTGTTCCATCATAACATGATAATCTGGACTCTTTCCTTACATCCAAAGCTTCCACACAGGAAGATAAATCTGTATATAGGAGTAAAGGAGTATTTCTCCAGTCAATATTTCTGTTTTCTGTCGACTGTGTTGTTATTACAAACCATGGGAACCAATGTGCTTCAGTCTGACACTGTGAACGTTTGTCTGGTCTCTGAGCTCAAAGGCCACGAGGGGTTCGATCAGGAGCATGGGCCAGTGCCACGGGTCGATCGGCCTCTGACCATGAGAGCGGATTTCTGTCTTAACAAGCAG